TATATGCAATCATTTACCCACCCTCCTCATGTTTCAAACCTGAATGGGTTTCTTTTTTTCTCAGTTGAATACAAACAAAGTTATTTTAAAGAGCGGGGTAACCAAAATGTTGTTGGTCCTCGTTGACTCCCTTGGTATTTTTTTGTTACCCTACTTTGGGGAATGTTAGCTTTTTTGGTTTTCAAAATATCTTCATTTGTGTACAGCAGAGTATAGAAACTTACAAAAAAAGGAACTCACATAAGTTTAAAACAGCTTGAGGATTCATAGATGTTAAATTAAATTTCAAATAAATTTTAATCTTGGGGTAAACTACCCTTTCTATTTAAAACCTGTTATGGTTGTTTTACTGTTTTATTTAGTCATTTTTACATCATTCAATTATTCTTAGTGCTGTCAAAATTAGTGCGTTAACGCATACGATTAATTTGAAATAAAAAAAGCAAAAATTAACGCAATTAACCTTAACGCAGTTGCAGTTAGTTGCGAAGAAAAATGGATAAGACAAATGAGACAAAAAGACACTTTTTAAAATACATTTTCAGTATGAAGCAATTAATGTCACATTACTGGGTTATCCAGCCTTCCTCCAGAGTTTATTTAATTTCGTATGTTTCATTTTTATTCTTTCAACTTTTGTTTTAATGGAATTTGGTACCGCATGGTGAACAGAAAGCAAAACCTCCGCATTTTATGACTCAGTGGTCCTTTAAGGTAATCAAAAATTGCTGTTTACATGGTAGACTCTTAATAAGAGTATTATCTTAATCATATTAAAAGCGGAGTATTGGTGTCCATGTAAATGTACTCAGAAAGTGCGAGATGAAGTTGCGAACTGTCAAAGACAGCGCATTCCTCTGCCTTTCAGCATGAGCCCTCAAATGTTTCATTAAGTTTGACGTGTTTCCCCCGTAAACGTAACTTTTGAAAAGAATCTGCTTTACATTATTGTGTCAGAATTCTTGTGTAATAGGCTACAGCCATACTTTAGAACGCTTAGTTTAAGCAAATTTGATAGACGCAATTATTCGTGCTGAATCTGAAGGGAGTCGCTCTGGCTGCACTGCCCTACGAGCATTGTGTGTGTGTGTGTGTGTGTGTGTGTGTCTGTGTGTTTCCTAGCAACAAAAACAAATGCCTAAACATCGTTGTCGTCCAAATTCCTCAAAGTTGTTTAAATGTTTAGAAATGGTGTGACCAAAGTCCCTGTAAGAATTAGTCTTTGGTATGACTCAATACGTACCTGTGGGTGCCTTTGATGTATCGCTTGATGTTTCTTACGTACTTGTCGCAGCACCAGTGGCCACAAAATTAGGCACTGAAATGCATATGCTGATTCAGTGTTTCTGCTTGTGAGAGACTGTTTTCACTCTCAGTTCACATCATTCAAAAGAAAAGGTCCATATTGTCCCCCGATAATGTCAATAGACTGAACTGTCTTAGCTACTGGCTGAATGTAAAGAAGGACTAAGCAAAATTGTTTCTACTTTATAATTAATGTTCTCAACTCACAGCAAAACAACTTTTCAATGAGTGCAATTGTTTGTATTCAATACTTTATTAATATTATAATTTTCCATATTTGCAACGCCTGTATTTTGGCATTTTTTGCAGTCCATTTAGAATCCAACATGGAAATAATTTTTTTCTTTATTGGCATTGATTGTTTTGAAATTCAAATGGCATTAACATACCTGTGTTTTTATTTCTGTAATCAATATGGCTGTCAAGCCAGGATCTTGCTGGTTTATTTTGGGTATGTTGTTTACATGAAGAAATCTGTGTTACAAGTTAAACAAAAATTCTAATAAACAATTATGTTTTGAATTTAAATTGTTTTTCGTCTTGCGTTTACATTAATTTTACATTTGAATAGCCAAAAATGCAAGTTTTAGTCTTTTAAATATGATTAATCGCGATTAATTGCAAAAAAACTGTGATTAATTTATTTTTTTTTTTATCGATTGACAGCACTAATTATTTTATCTCTGGTTTATTCTATGAAATAAACATAGAATAATATAATATAACTTAAAGCTGTTTTACATAAAGTTTCTACCTCAATAGTACAAGCGTACCCAAGATTTAACGATACAAAATTAAAGTAGGTGAATGTGTCGCCTGTGTGGCTTGAAATTTCAATGGGAATCAGATATGCATGTTAAGACGTAGGTCTTATTAATTATAAAAAAATATCTGATTAAAAAAACATTTGGAAGTGACTCAGAAAGGCTCATAAATCAAATCTTTTGTGGGGATTTTTATCTCATGTGCCAAAATGTCTGATCTGTGTCAGATTTGTTTTGTGCCAGTGTAAACACAGCCTATGTTACAATATTAAAGATTGCTTTGGTGTTTTTACCCATCATTATAATAATTGTTTCCTGTCATGTGTGATTAAAAGGAGATAATTCCAGTTTAATTGGCTTTTAGAAGAACATTATCAAATCTGATTTATTTAGCAACAACTTGATAACCAGTTTTACCCCATTTAGCCTGTGAAAGGCTAAAAAGGTAATTCTTTTCCTCAGAACAATTACACATGATTGAAAACAAATGCTTAATAGTGCATGGGTTGAAAACAGCAAATCAAACATTAAAAGCTTTACAGTCCCTTCAATGTTTTCTATGTGTTTCTATTGCATGAATATCTCGTAATTCATTCAGTATTTGTTCAGTTATGCTTTGCAACCCTCTGTTATGTTCCCCAGTTTTGTTTGCTGATCTGCACGTGTGAATGTACAGACAGGAACAGTAATAGTCTAAAGTTAGGATGCTATTCATGACACTTTGTTGCACTAACCCACATTAGGCTAAGAAAAAAACTTTCCCTATGTGTCAGTCGGATATTGCCAGCAGGTGGCACTGCAGTATTTCTCTGGCTATCTTGACTCTCTGCTCACTGATCCCATTTTGATAACAATACAACCCCTTTTTCTGAAGGCATTGTCTGCTTCTGTAAATTTCATTGTTCTGTGAATCTTTCCTGTGATTTAATATTTTCTAATATATCTAAATGTGCAGTTGAGAAATACAATATTGGGACATCAAGATCAATTTCATATTTTTGTGTATGTTTGTGTTTAAGAGAGATAGAGAGAGTAATCATTGTAAATAATTTTATTTTTTTAATTTCACATTAAGACTCTTTTATAATGCTTTTAAATGCTTCTGTCTGTGTTCTGCCACAACACATCCTCCCTAAAGCCTTTCCTAACACACACACACACACACACACACACACACACACACACACACACACACACACACACACGCATGATTATTTTGCATTATACTCTAGAAAAAAGGATTCAAAATTCATACAAGTCTACCACAGATTGTCTGCAACCAACATTTACTTTAGTGTATAATTGTGCCATAACTGTGTATGATCCACAGAATGGCAATAAAGCTGAAGTGTGTGATTGAAAATGCAAACATAAAAACTGTTTTCAAACTGGTTTTCTTTCTTTCACTTTTCAAATGTTGGAAAAACTTAAACAGTCCCCCCAAAGATGCACCACCATACACTTTTTAATAAATTCCTGCCTTAAACCCTTTTTTTTTTTTACATTTTTTAGTTTAATCAAATGACCTTTTCTAGTCAACTCAACTTGCATCAATCAAACTAACTAAAAATATGACGTTACACTTTGTATAACTTAAAACATTTAGTTAAAACCTGATTAATGTATTAAAATAAGTTAAAGCAACATAAAATATTTGTCTTGACTTTTTGTCATTACATTTTTTACAAACTCCTGGCAATTTATAACATTCACATCGGTGAATTAAAGGTAAATTTGTAAGAATTTGTATAATCGCATTCATACATTTTGCTTTTTGTATAGAAATATATCCTTCTATTAATGTAAATTTGCTTTAGAAATAACTAAAATGAAGATACATTGAAAATTAAAGAGAATTATAATTTAAAATTAAGTCATTTGTCAACAAATAAAGTATTTCATGCTTTTTATTATTTTTTTAATTTGTACTTTTTTTATTCATTTTTGGCATTTCTTCTTTATTATGAAAGAAAACTCGGTTGACAGGAAGCAAAGTTAGAGAAAGGGTAAGGGGGAATGGATTTGGGAAAGGTCCACAAACCAGGACTCAAACTTGGGATGCCTAAAGCACAGGGTGCTACAAGTCAACGCACTGTCCACTAGACTAATGGCACCAACCCACACAAAATGACAGCAAAATATATTAATACTTAGTTTCCCTTGATCATTTCAATTAAATGGAAAAAAAAGTCACACACTTCAGCTTTTAATGCTGTCTTTATTTAAAATCGTACCTCATGCTTCTCTGTGGGGAATATTTACATATGTTGAAAGCGAGTGAGATGGTCAGTTTGAAGGGGGTCAGCCATCAGTCCACCACCACCAGGCCTGCTGCTGCTGGATGCCTGCCTCTCTCTCATCTTCTCTCTTCTGCCTGGGCGGCTCCAACACCAATATAACTTAATCATATGATTGTGTTTGATTATACTGGGGATGCCAACTGATTCAAGCAACGTCTCTCTGTGAATAATGCACTTTTCTTTGCTTGTATCACAGGGAGGAGTATTATTTAACACTAATCTGCTGCTCTCTAACCACTGAATTGTGTTTTATGGGCAGACTAAGAGGGTTTACATAACCCATGTACCGTAGCCTGCGTCACTGTAAAATGGGATCCTGCCATCTGCAGTTCATTTCCCCTGATCAAGCATGTGATTGATTGTAGAACAGCACTCTCGCTCGTAGATATATTGCATACAAAGTAAAATACAGCTCAATTAATGACCCGTATTAAATCAGTAGTTCACAGTCATTAATGTTACAATTTCTATAATCCTTCAATGAGAAGACATTTTCTGTCCCTCTTGATGGAAATCCTTGCATTGTGCTCAGAATGTAGTCTATGCATGAAAACGAAGCAGCTGCTTATGACAATACTTTAAAGGCATATCTACATACATGGCTACTGTCTGTATTTATGTCTTCAGCCTGACTTCCATTTTTGATTTTACCGCTACCTAACATTGTATCTAGTTCTGCTGCTGAGCATGCTCCAGTTTCTACCAGCATTGCACCTGTCTGCCCGCCTACTATGGCTGCTTTGCCCAATCAGCTCCTTTCCGAGCCGCTGATAGCCAATCAGGCACCTGAGCCTGAAGTGGAGCTGATTCCCGAGCAAACCACTGTCCCCAGGTAATGTTGCATGCATTGCATTTGCAGTTTTGGCTTGCTTTACTTTTCCCTCTTTGGTATGTATTTGTTAACGGCATATATAACTTTTCAAAAGTGAATTTAAAAAATATATGTGTTTTGTATTCACCAAGGATGCATTCAATTGACAAAAAATGACAATAAAGGTGGCAATGTTAACAAAAATTGTAAAAATGTTGTTTGAGTCACAGATGCATATTGAAAAATAATCTACTTGCACAAAAATATTTAGCAACAATATGGTTTTTTATAATAAGAACTGCATATCAGCATAATATAGTGATTTCTAAAGGATCATTTGAGATATTTAAATATTAAAAACATTTTTAAAAAGTTGATTTGTTTTTCAATGTCCCTGTTTTATTGTGGTTTTGGTCAAATTAATGCAGCCTTGATTTTTCCAGATATTGTTAGTCTGTATTTATGTTTCCTGTTGTTACTATTTATTGTCGTTGTTGGTTTGTGTGGGGTTATGGTCATTTGTTTGGATGTAGCAAAACAATATAGTTAGCTTTAGTTATTTCAATGATAAGTTACTTATGTTTGGGAAACATTAGAGATGTTTTAGAAAATTAACTATTACTTTTAGATTTTAGCCTAACATTGTAAACTATGTTAAAACAGAGAGCCTCTGTTGATTCTGGAGACTCAAACAAAGCCAATCCACCAGTGAGTCTTGTTATTAATATAGCAATTGTTGGCTTCAATTTTCCAATATAATTTTCTTTGTTTGAACCAGGTTTCTTGATGCAGCTGCTGGCATGATTTTGTAAACTACAATGTGATCCTGGATTAGCATCTATGTTGATCCTGGAATTTTTGTTTGAAAATGTAATTTATATCTCGAAACACAACCATATCTGTAAATTTTTACCAGAATCAGATTAGAATAATAGTTGGATAACAATTATGTTAAAGTGCATAAACCTAACCGTAAGCCTAATCTTAAATGGTAAATGTATCCCTTAATTCTGATTGGATGATTGGAATGTTGTTCCAGAATCAACATAGATGTTGATCCACACTCTCAGAAATAAAGGTACACGATCTGTCACCGGGGTGGTACCTTTTCAAAATGTACAAATTTGTACCTAAAAGATCAATATTAATACCTCAAGGGTACATATTAGTTCCTAAAAAGTACAAAAGTGTTCCTCTTAAAATTTGCAGGTACTATTATATATTTTTAAAGTACTAATATGGCCCCTTAAGTACAAATGTGTACCTTTTGCAAAGGTACCACCCCAGTGACAGCTCACATATCTTTATTTCTGAGAGTGCAGGAACATATCCTACTTGGTAAAATCAGGTTGGCGGCAGCTGCCACTTCCTTTGATGTTACTTATTATAATAATAATCTTCCCCCAAAGGAAGCAAGAAACTCACATTTAATTTAATTCATGAATCATTTGGCAGGTTACTTGTTTGTTTTCAGCTGCTACTTTAAAGTGGGAAAAACAATGACATTGTTTAAAACAGGACTTGATCCAAATAAGTCGCTTTGGATAAAAGCGTCTGCTAAATGACTAAATGTAAATGTAAATGCAAATAAAAATCTTCCAAGTTTTCATTGAAGACTTTTTTGAGCTCAACTTCACAACAAGAACTTATATTGTATAATGTTACATTGACAATAACAGTAAGTTGCAGGTGTTTCTGAAACCTAAGGTGAAGTAATTTAATACGCTTCCTCTGAGGTTTGAGCATTAGTTTAGATTTCTGTTTTTTTTATTCTTCCTTAAAATAAATAGGTGCTACATCAGTACTTCTACTGTAGTTGCACCCCTAAACATGCCTAAACAAGTATCTTACATCGATTCCCAGTCAGTACAAATTCATTGTATATGTTTAGTATGTGATGGTAATAAAAAAATTGATTTTCTAGCTGTTTCTAGATTTGTTTCTAGTGATGTAATGGTATATTTTATAGGTCAAAGACAAGATTTAAAAGTGAATTTGCTGCACAGTAAAGTACAGGCCTGCACTGCTATCCATATGGTCTTTTAATATGTCATCAGACATATACAATATGAATAAATAAACAAGACATCCTATAATGTAAAGAATAAAAACACTATATATTACACTTTTATTGGTTTGGTCCTTAGGACATTTTTCACCTTTCAGCCCTTATATCTAGTTACACGTCCAATATTTCCACCCTAAGTGTGAGTTTCCATATCTGGGTATTGAAACCCATGTCAACAAATGCTCATGTTTATTGTTTTTAAGACAGAGACTGTCTTCTCTTTGCATGTCTACATTGATTATCTGAGCAAGCTGTTCATTAGATTAGATTGCTGCATGCAGAATAAAGTGAACTTCATAGTTTCAGCTGATCTAAACTCTGTCAAATAATCACAGAAGTCTCCAGTAATTAATAGAAGCCATAGTCATATTAACTGTGAATTCAGATTTAGCTGACTTACTTCAGACTAGATGACCTGGATAATATTAAGCCAATATGGTCAGGTTCTTTCTGTCAGGAAATTTCAATTGTTTTATTGTGTTCTATTTTACTATTAACTGAAATATAATATGTTATTGTGTTTATATATTGTTGTTTTTTTTGCTCTAAAAGTTTATGCTTATTTGTTTTGTTTGTGTTTGTACTGTATGTGTTCAGCTGGTTGGATGATTTGTTTGTGTTGTATATATCGCCATGTTCGCTCATAGCTACTGTGCTGAATTCACGTCTTACAAGTTCTTTAAAGGGTCATTCCTATTTAATTTATAAGTATTTGATTTGTAAAACAAAAGTACCTGATCCTGTTTATATTTTGGGTTCAGTTTCACAGCTGTACAACTATGAGTGCACGTGGCCTCTCGGGTTTATTATAGGATTGGTAGTTTTGACTGTTCACTGTTTTTGTCTTTGTTGCTGTATACTATAGCTACAGCTTGCAGACCTCTATGGGCTACACTTCCCAGTACAAAACCTCCATCTCAAGGTATGGTCAAGCTTTCTTCTCAAACAATAATATGTTTACACTTGCAGCTTTTGTCATCTTTTTAACTGCTCAATATTTGTGAATGGTTTTTTATGCTTCTATATTAGAGATATGTTACCTTTAGCAACTATATAAATAAACACTACAATTAAAAAGTTTGGGGTCGGTAAGGTATGTACACTCCAGAACAAAATCTTAAGATCGGGGAAAACATTACAGTTATTCACATTTTACATATGTAGATCATAATCTAATTGTAAGAACTACTTTAAAATAGCCAAAGAAGATGCTGGTGCAAAAGCCAAAAAACTGAAAATAGGCAATTTATTAAGGCATTTAAATTCAAATAGGCTCAAATCGGCTGATCAAAGGTATAAAAAAACCGCGATAATAAAACTCAAATTGTCAAAAGTGACTCAGTAGTGTGAAGTTCCTCCCTTCTTGTTGATCACTTCAAACACTCATTTCGGCATGCTTGATACAAGTGTTTCCAGAAGGCTGGTGGTAATGTTGCTCCATGTGGTCAAGATGGCTTCAGGAAGGTCACCCACGGTCTGGAACTGACTTTTTTTTTTGGCCATTTTTCAAACTTCCTTTGCCATCCACCCCCAAATGTTCTCAATGGGATTTAAATCAGGAGAGCATGCAGGATGGTCCAAAAGAGCAACGTTATTCTCCTGGAATAAGCGTTTTGTCAGGCAGGCGTTGTGAATTGCAGTGTTCTCTTGTTTAAAGATCAAGTCATTACAGCACAGACGAGGGCCCTCAGTCAAGAGGGATGTCTGCTGCAACATGTCTACATAACCAGCAGCAGTTTGTCACCCCTGCACAACCTGAAGATTAATTTTACCATTGAAGGAAAACGCACCGCAGATCATGATGAAGCCTCCACGCTGTGCCGTCTAAAAAACATCTCCTGTGGAATCTCCTTGTTGTGCCAGTAGTGTTGGAAGCCATCAGGACCATCCAGGTTAAAGTTGTTTTTGTCAGAGAACAAAACTTTCCTCCACTTTTCAATGTCCCATGTTTGGTGCTCCCTTGTAAATTTCAAATGGGCAAGTTTGTGGTGTGGGCAAAGACGTGGCCTTTGAAGACATTTTTGTTCTTTAAGCCCTTCTCTCAACGATGTTGTCTCATGGTTATTGGGCTGCAGTCAGCATCAGTAAGGGCCTTAATTTGGGTTGAGGATATGCCTCTGTCTTCTCGGACATCCTCCGGCTCAGTGCAGGGGAAATTTCTTTGGGTCTACCACTTGACTTTTTTGTCCCATAACGCTTAGGATCTTTTAAGAAATTTAATGACTGTGTTACTGCATCCAACTTCGGCAGCAATGATTCGTTGTAAAAGCCCTTGCCTGAGCAGCTCAACAATCCTGCCACGTTCAAAACGAGAAAGCCTTTTTGCCTTTGCCATCTAGAGATCTTGAGAGTGTTACAGGCTGAAGCAAAACTAAAGCAAAGCCAGTTTTGTAAAGAATTAAACTTTTTTAGGATCTGGTCCTATACTTTTGATCAGCTGATTTGAGTCTGTTTGAGTTTTAATACAATTTTCATTTAATTGCCTATTCTCAGTTTTTTATGTGTTGCACCTGTGTCTTCATTTGCCATTTCAAAGCAGTACTTACAACCTGGTTACGATACACCAGTGCAAATTGTGAATACTTGAAATGTTTCCCCGGGTCTTAAGATTTTGTTCATGAGTGTATCGTATGTAAGGGATGTTTTTGAGGAATTCTGTTCAATATCCTGAAAAAAACGTAGGGCTCTTCCTGAAAGAAGCTGTAAACACATGTTTTGGTCAATTTTAAATACGTTTCATGCATCCTCGCTCTAAATCCCATAAAAATGTATCCAAAAATACTTTAGAATTATTACAAATATTAATAATTCAATCATATAAAATAATCTCACTGACAAAAATATTAACATTGATGGGTTATGTTTGTGAATATGTATGGCTTCTCATAAAATAACAATAACATAGTTAACATGAAAAGTTAATTTGCAAGAACAGATGGACAAATTTTTGATTCACTGATATTAAAATGACATGAAACAAAAACTCTTATTTTATGGAATTATACGGAGTTTTTACAGAATTATTTTTACAGTGTAACACAACATTAATTAATTTTAAAACCAATGAGCTCAACACATGAAAGGTTATCTGTTTTTTGACCTTGCTCATTTATGGCATCTTTACCCAAAGTTTCCCTGCAACATTGCTCATAAAGTTGCCCTGTGGATCACCAGCATAAGGTATTTAAATGAATAGTTTAAATAAGCAAGACATTCGTGTACTGTTGGCGTTCCTCTAGGAGTTACTCTAGGTTGGGAACCATTATGTTAATATGTAAATATTACCATGGAAAGGGAAAAATTATGTTCTGTATAAACAAATTGGATGAAAGTGTAAGATGCAGGAGAATCTTCTCTGAACTGAAATGTCACAGAGTCTCTGTTCTGTTTTTCTGTAGTTCTTACAGCCAGCCTCCGCCTATGCAGCAGCCTCCGCTCATGCAGCAGCCTCCACTCATGCAGCAGCCTCCACTCATGCAGCAGCCTCCACCAATGCACCAGCATCCACCCATGCACCAACCTCCACCCATGCAGCAACCTCCACTTATGCAGCAGCCTCCACCCATGCAGCACAGCTCCATCCAGATCCCTGTAGGTCCACCACCACCCAAAGTGGTCAGCACAGCCACCATTATGCCTGCTTCCTACCCAGCTGGTCCAGGTAACCATTCCACATTGTATGGTGTAAAACTCATGTGCATGGGTCTATACATTCAGTGCTAATTCATGGACCTCTTTTAGCACCAGCTCCTCCAATGGTGCACAAGCCTGCCCCACCTCCACCTGCTCCTCCAGCAGCTCCAGCATCGTCTTCCAACAGGCCTCCCTGGGTTACTGATGATAACTTTGCTCAGAAATTTGACCCCAGCAAACCCACCCCCAACACGAATATCAAAGTGCAGCCTCTTCCCCAGGCGGCTCCACCACCACCATCTATTATCTCTAACCCGGTTCCTGCAGCACCAAGTCCTGCATTTAACCCCGCCCCTCCTCCCTTCAACCCTGCCCCCTTCCCACCGGTGGCTCGTGGAGTTGCTCAAAGGGCGGAGCGGTTTGCAGCTAGCAACAGGACACCTCTGTGTGCTACCTGCAACAATATCATCAGGTATTTACAATCATAAGACTTAATTTTTCACTTTGCTAGTATTGGTTTCTATTTTATTTTTGTTTAGTTTTGTTCTTAAATAAGGCAACTATTTTAATTGAAAAAAACTGTATTATATCTAGCACGTTTTCTGTTTTGTAGCAAACAGATCTTGTCATAATAAGCAATATTTCCTGCATGCAAGGATTGCTAGTCTCACTCTCTCACTCGCTTTATCCTAAAGCCACTACTGTATGCTTAGTGTTGGGCCGGCGGTGTGAAGGAATTACACTTATTACTAAGCCTTACTTACATGCTATTTCAGACTGAGTATTCAGAGTGTCATGGTAAACAATATAGGGAGCCTGTCACAGGTTGCCATTGTTCAAAAATACCCCAATGTAAATATAAAAACAACTTCAGCTCTGTAAAGCAGGCTAGACAGAATAGAGCGTTATACTTGTGTTTTGATATTAAATTAAAAAAAAAATCTACATTATCAATGCTGTAAAAAATTCTTTATGAAATTGAAATCAGTCACATCAATCTTTTGCCGGAAGATTTCAGTGGCTAAACAACTCTTCCGTGCATATAACCCATTCGTAAAACAAAAAAGTCAACATCAACTTTGCATGACTAAAATAGTTTTAAAACTGAACATTACCTGTTTAAAAGAAATACTTCAGCCATGGTCCTCCTACCTCTAGCATGCAAAAGTAACTCCAATATTGATTTAGGATTTTATAAAGTTTCAATTCAGCGTTTTTTTTTTTTTTTTTTTTTTTTTTTTACTGTTGTCACTTTCTAGTGTGTAAATGGGGTATCTGCCTGAACAGGGGTGTACAGATGTACAAATCTACATTTGTTGACAGAAAGTTTGGGCTAGTTATCAGAATTATAGGAATTATCGGCCTGACAAATTTGAGTTGAATGAACATATTTCAGTTTCATGCCTTACCTGGAATATAAAAATACATATAAATACATTTAGGTCATTCACTTTAATCATTACTATTGAAATGTGAAGAGACTTTCGATCAGCACAACAAAAATTGTTTCAACAATCACCTACTGCACCTTTTAAACAAGTAGTTTTATCTTAGTTAGTAGTTAAATTAACAATATTTATTTATTTATTTATTCATTTAAAATAAAATTATAAAACTTTTTAAAATAATTTTTTCAAGCCTTAATAATTAATGAACAACTAAAATAAATAATGTAATTCATTCATTCATTTTCTTTTTGGCTTAGTCCTTTTATCAATCTGGGGTTACCACACCGGAATGAACCACCAACTTATCCAGCATATTTATTACGCAGCGGATGCCCTTCCAGCTGCACTGGGAAACACCCATACACACTCATTCACACACATACACTACGGACAATTTAGCCTACCCAACTCACCTGTACCGCATGTCTTTGGACTGTGGGGGAAACCGGAGCACCCGGAGGAAACCCACGCGAACACGAGGAGAATATGCAAACTCCACACAGAAACGGCAACTATAATATAATAGTGCAACTTTTAAAATGTAAAAAATGTGTTAAAGCAAAAGCTTAAGATTTATTATGTTACAATTAAACAAAACAAAGAAAAATTTAGGAAAATTTTGTCAGTCAAGTATTTTTGTTTTTCTGTAGTGGCTTATATAATGGAAATTGTGTAAAAAAGGTTTACAAAACTGCTTTGATCATAAGTCATGTTTAAAGTTTCTCCAATGAGAAACAATATAATGAAATGAGCTGCTGCACATGTTGTTTATGTGGTGCATTTACATTATTGTCAGCCCAACTGGGCTTTTATGCATTTTATGCTATTACGCTAATATTACGTTTAGTAAAACCAGCTCATCGTTAGTTGTGAAATATGACTGAGCAAGACCAACAATATGTTCATTTAATTTTTTTTTAAATCAGTAATTCATTAACAAATGTTAATTAAGGTACATAATTGAATATATGATGGGAAATATCAATAACTTTAGTGCTTCTAAAAACATAAATCTTTTACAAGTGTGTTTTTGACTTCCCAGGGGACCATTCCTGGTGGCATTGGGTCGTTCCTGGCATCCAGAGGAGTTCAACTGCCATTACTGCCACACATCTCTGGCTGATGTCAGTTTTGTGGAGGAGCAGAATAATGTTTACTGTGAGAACTGCTATGAAGAGTTCTTCGCACCTACCTGTGCCCGCTGCAGCACCAAGATCATGGGAGTACGTCAGAGACCTATAAACTTTACCTCACACACACACACACAAATGTAAACACATTTCACAGTTACTGATGATTGGATCTGCTCAACATCTGCTCAACAGGAAGTGATGCATGCACTGCGGCAGACCTGGCACACCACATGCTTTGTGTGTGCGGCCTGTGGAAAGCCTTTTGGAAACAGCCTCTTCCATATGGAGGATGGTGAGCCGTACTGTGAGAAAGGTATGGGAGCCTCTGGCTATATCTAACATAAAATTGTATATAAGGTTAGTTTAGGGCTAAATCATTTTAGAAAATGACCAAATGACCAATATTAAGATTGCAATTGTGATTTAAAATGCAGTACATCTTCTGTTTTATTCAACAGATGATATAGTATCATAGTATGATAAGCATAGTATTAACGTGATGTGTTATTAATAACCTTATTTCTAAAATTAATATTTTATTTTTGGCCACGCAACATAAAAACATCATAATTGTTCTGCTTCAGTTTTAGTTTTATCAGTTATTTACCTAAATTAATTTGTAATAAAACAGGTTTACAGTTTTTTAGGTTAAGTTTAGCTATGGTTACACCTTCCGCCCACACTTCCTCTGAGTTTTGAGCACTGAAAACAAAGTGTTTTGGAAATGCTGAAGAGACCATTTACATTTTAAAATGCTGTGTCACTGTGGATGGGGGAAAACTAGGACATCTGAAAATCTGATTGGGGCTTTTCTTGCACCCTTTTCTTTAAGTTCAGACTTCGCAAGTTTGATATGGAAAACAAACTCCCGAGGACACATCGGGTAAATCTTCATAGGAAACAGTGTAGGCTATTACATCATTCACATCACCCTGGCTATGTTGTTTCACTATTTTAACAATAAAATGAAAACATGATATGAGGAACTGCCTATTTTCATTCTGATATTAACTTAAAAGACACCAAAAATGTTAAGGCATAGTGTAGCTACATATTTACATGACTGTCATCTAGAGATCTGCGCGGGACTAAATTTTGAATCCCGCTCCCGCCCGCACCCGCAAGGTTTTAGCCCGAACCCGACTGCTCCCGCTTATATTAAGAATTTATTGTCCCGCTGCCCGACCCGCCCCGCCCCGTTTTCTGCCCGCAGCGCCCGATCCCGCTAAAGAGCGGGGGAGAACAAAACCAAAAATCCCCCAGCTATACAGTCCAGACAGCCAAGCTGTCTGTATAAACACACACACACACACACACACACACACACACACACAGCACCAAGCACACACACACAGACAAATCTCTCTCTCTCTCATACGCGCGCACTAACACACACACAAGCACCAAGCAGACACACAGGCGTTTGCTGTTATATCAACTCAAAGGCTTGTAATACCATGTATCAAGTACCAATGTAATACCAAAAGGTTTTATATAAAGGTATATAAATACTGAGTCGCGCCAGCTCCGGGCCGCAGCGCACATTACTCTCGGGCCGATTCCAGCGCGGATGCGGCACCGTCGGCTCGCTTACGGAATCGGGCAGTGAGTCCACAAGCATCCGGAGTCCGGCAGCCGGAGCCGGGCTGAGTGGTAAGTCTCTGGCAGGCGAGAATCTAGCCGGAACTGGCCCGAGTGTATTTTGCTATCTGGGAAAGCTCTCTCTCTCTCTCTCTCTCTCTCATTCACGCGCGCGCGCACTAACATACACACACACACAAGCACCAAGCACACACACAGGCAAAGCTCTCTCTCTCTCTCTCTCTCTCTCATTCGCATAGCAATATCCGCGATATTGCTAGACAGCCCGCTCCCGTCCCAAATTAAACCCGTTACTGACCGCTCCCGCGATTTATTCGGAAATTTATTCCCACGCTGCAGAAATCTGGTCGGGTCCTGCGGCGCCTGCGGGAAAGCCGCGGAAATGCAGACCTCTACTGTCATCTTCACGGTATATATATTTATAAAATGAATCTGATAACATAGCTGCCTCCTTTCATTAAAGTATGAAACATACCCTGTCTCTTTTGCTGAATATCAATTTTAACAATCAATAATAGCCATTATAAAAATAGAATGTACAATAAATTTATACAATATAGAAAATAAAGGCAAGCAAACAGTCAAATAGGCCTATTAACTTATCTTTGCGCTCAGCCAAAACATGTTACCTGAGAACAATAATAGGGTCAAAAGACCAAAGAGTCGTTTGATGAATTAAGATAAGATAAATTAAATATCACGTTTAACAACTATACTAAGACGAAATCCAGCAGAAGATCCTTAGTGAACTGTCCGACATGCGCTGCTCTCATCTCGGGGGATGCCTGCAAAACCTCCACTGACTTCTTGGAGCTCAGATGCACGCATATGCTGTAGCACATGCCAGAGTTTGTGTGTGGTCACGTGATGTGCGTTTTCAGCGGTGTAGTGTGGACAGAGAGCTGTTCAGAAATGCTGGGTGAAACACCAGTGTGGACTTGGACCATTTTAAAACTAAAGCGTATTAGTATACACGGGGCCTTATTCTTATTAAATATTATTAACAAGGGCTATCACTTTTTACAACTTTTACAGCAACTTTTTACATGAGCAGTAATTCATTTTTATTAATAATATGTGCAAGTAAAAACAGAAGAATACTGTGGGCTCAGGAGAGCTCCAGTCACAGCCAATTCACCCGTGCTATTCAGAGCAAAAGTCCAAGAGAAATCAAATGTGCGTTCAAGGGCAACTTCATTACCATGCATATTCATAGTGACTTATTTTATTTTATTTGTTTGACATACAACTATTTGTAAATGTGAATTTGCTCAGTAAAATGTAAATAATGAGAAAATTTTCTTTAAAATTGCCCAAATTATGTTCGTAGCAATATATATTACTAAACAAAATTTTAGTTTTAACATATATACAGTTGGTGACGCAGTGGCGCAGTAGGTAGTGCTGTCGCCTCATAGAAAGAAGGTCGCTGGGTCGCTGGTTAGAGCCTCGGCTTAGTTGGCGTTTCTGTGTGGAGTTTGCATGTTCTCCCTGCATTCGCGTGGGTTTCCTCCGGGTGCTCCGGTTTCCCCCACAGTCCAAAGACATGCGGTACAGGTGAATTGGGTAGGCTAAATTGTCCATAGTGTATGAGTGTGTGTGTATGTGTAAATGTGTGTGTGGATGTTTTCCAGAGATGGGTTGCGGCTGGAAGGGCATCCGCTGCATAAAAACTTGCTGGATAAGTTGGCGGTTCATTCCGCTGTGGTGACCCCTGATTAAAAAAGGCACTAAGCCGACAAGAAAATGAGTGAATGAATATTTACAGTTGGAAATTCACAAATTATTTTCATGGAATATGATTTTTTACTTAAAAGTCTAATAATTTTTGACATAAAACCTCAAAACATTTTGCAATTCTGACTGTGCCTCACACAGGTGAGTGGGCTTGACAAACCACCTGTAGAAAACACACTCTTTAATTTCTGGAAATTTTCCAGACCCTTGCACCACTTTGCTCATTTGCACCAGACTCTTTCTTAAAATCACTCAATATCGCCTAACTAACACATAGTACATTTCTGAGTGTGCTCCACAGAGGTGAGTGGGCTTGACAAACCACTAATAAGACTACAAGACTAAGTTTTGTTGTCCAGGGTCACATATATTATATTATATTATATTATATTATATTATATTATATTATATTATATTATATTATATTATATTATATTATATTATATTATATTATATTATATTGAATTATATTATATTATATTATATTATATTATGTTATATTATGTTATATTATATTGAATTATATTATATTATATTATATTATATTATATTATATTATATTATATTATATTATTTTGAATTGTATTATTTTGAATTATATTATATTATATTATATTATATTATATTATATTATATTATATTATATTATATTATATTATATTATATTATATTACAATATATATCCATATAATATGATCCATAACCTGATGCTTTTTCTGCAGACTGCTTTACTGTTGCATGTCATGCGTCCACAGTGTAACTGAAGCATTTGCTGTTTAAAAATCATGTTTTGTAAAAGGAAAATATTAGTGCAAATAATTATTTAGCTCTAGTTTGGGGCATGCAAGTCTTCATGGATTATTACATGTTTACTATTTCTGTCACCAGATTATATTGCACTCTTTAGTACAAAGTGCCATGGCTGTGACTTCCCTGTTGAAGCAGGAGACAAATTTATCGAAGCTCTTGGCCACACATGGCACGATACCTGCTTTGTTTGTGCGGTAGGTTCAAAAATAAGTTCTCTCCTATGGTTTATAAATCCTTCCATAAACACTGTCCTCAGCTACATATTTCTGTCTGCACATACAGGTCTGCCACGTCAACCTGGAAGGACAACCGTTCTACTCCAAGAAGGACAAGCCTTTATGCAAGAAGCATGCACATGCCATCAATGTGTAGCTGCTTCAAAAGCACAACTAAATCTGTCAGAGAAGTTGCTAAATGCAATTGATTTAACATTTGCATTCGCGTTTTTTTGGCGAGACATCAGTGCCAATTAAAATGAGAGTGAAAGTCATATAAAAATAAATACAGTATATAATTGGTTAAACAGCATATTAGTATGTGGATGAATGGATGATACATAAAGTAAGTGTTGTGACATTTTTAATCGGAATCCAATACAGTGCTGCAGTCGGTGATGTCAGAACCCTGAAGACTAATTCATCTTTGAGATTGGCGGTGAATTATGGGGCTTTCAAGTCATGAGTAAAAACAGATTGTTGGTAAACATAAGTTACTACCTAATATCAACATTGTCGCTCATTTCGCAGCAGCATGAAGCCGTTTAAACCACACACTAGAGTGTTCTTGTAATACTATACCACTTAAAGATTTATGAAAACAAGTAGTATGATAATACATGCAGTATTGTGTTGATTCATAATTCAAATTTCTAGAAATCTATAGATGTAAATGAGACTGAATGTCTGCAGAATACTTTTTATAGTATTTTTTAACGTGTTGTTTGTACCAGCATCTGATAAATAAAGCTTAAAGAATGCTCATATATAATATCATAAATATTTATATAGATAATAAAATATAATAATTACAATCGTATATTAAAAAATAAATAAATGCAGAAATAAAAAATGCTGGAAAAAGAAATATGCTTGCTTTTAAATGGGAAAATAAAACCCTTAGTTGGTGGCAAGTCTAAATGATTTAGTCACTGAATTGTTCATTCAAATGATTCATTCAAAACTGTTGTTTCATTCATATATATATATGCATTAGATGTCGCCTTCCCTGCTGTTGTCTATTAGAAGGAATGCGTCAATAGAGCCAACATTTTAGTACAGGGTAGCGCTCCTTTGAAATGAATGCAGGACCAAGGTGCAGTGGAGGACTGTGGACATTCAAAGCAAGAGATATACACATATATCAATGATCAGGAGTTTTGCTGGTGGTCAGTGTGTAGACATTTTTTTCAATTACGAAAAATTATAATTTTACATCACTTTTCTACATGGATGGATGTGACCGCACGGCATTGCCGACAAACAGTATGTGTTTGTGTGCATAGAAATGCATCATCCTGTTTAATTTGATCTAATCCATGTCCTGAAACACACCCCCTCTCCTGCTTTCACTTCTAATTCTGACAGAGGGAGCGATTTGTTTGTGAATGAATCTCCGTTAAGAATGACTCGTTCACTTAGCTGACTATAATACAAATTTCTGGCTCCGCAGCATCTTGTTGTTATATTTCATAACATTGATTGCTTATTTTATTTAAAAAAACTAGCATAAGCCTGGTATTTAGTGTAAGTTGGTGCTACTTTGCCTTATGGTGAATGCAGTAGATGACTGTATTATCATCAATAACATTACTAGTTTAGCACAAAAGTTCATAACATACAAAAACATAAAAAAAGAAATCTTACCTATGAAATGGTCTGCCTTTGTGCTTTGTTTTCTTTGTTTGCTTGTTACTACATCCATACACAGCGCGAAAGTCCAGGATCTTCACGTAGTAACACTGGCTTGACTAGTGCAGTTGATTGACTTTTGTCCTAGGAGCACTGTACAAATGTGGCGGCACTATTGACACATGCTCAGGGTCTCTATGTGATATCTAGTGTATATGTCTATGGGATAAAATGAGTTATATTTGCATTTGCGCTGATATTCATGCTGATAAAAATGATTCATTTTTAGCCCATTTCTTGAATTTATAAAACTCTGACTGGATAATGCATGTACTAAAGTATACGTTTCACATACAATAACAGGAGAACAATGACTTACAAAATGAACTGAAATCAGAAGTGCTAAGTCATGATTTGCTACAAAAATATTTATTAAAAAAAAAAAAAACTTAGAGGCATCCCCAGTATTTTTAAACTTCCTTACTACAATACAATACTTTATATAATTTTACCTCACATAACATAACAAATTTTGCTAATGAATTTGTCTCTCATGTTAGAAAAAGTGTAATATGTGAGATTTGGTGCTCGTGCCGGTTTCTATTGTGGAAAGTGACAGTTTATTCTTCCGGGATTTGACATCTTGACTGCAGCATTCTGTATTTTAGAGCGTTATTATTATATCCCTGATTACACTGACATACATGCACCCGTTTGCCTGACATAATCTAACATATAACACTATTTTTTCTTGTGCATTTATACAACATATTATGATATTAAAGACTGATAGATTTAAAGGAGAAATGAATAAGTTATACATGAATGTTGGAGATTATCTGAATAAAACCTATGCATTTTATTAAGCCTTAAACTCTATAGTACACCTAAATGTGTTTTAATTGCATTACTATATGTTTTCTGAACAATAATGAGGCCTGTTTATCCCTGAATTGGAAATCAATCACAAAAAGTTGTTAAATGAATGGAGAACATATGTTGATGTAGTCTTTTTGGTGCTGAATGTGTGTTTTATGTGTAACTATTTTGTCTTTTTTTGTTTCAAGTTTTTAAAAAAATTCTTTTTTTGAGTGAAACCAAGTGAGCTAATCCACGATGTTAGCATTAGCATTGTCATTGTTTTCATAACTTTTTCATAACAATTTTAAGAATAGGTTACACAGAATGTGTGTCTCCCTCACAAATCAGCCATTAATGTTGTGCATTGTCACATATAATGTTGTTTTGTTTTGTTATTTATTTTGTGAAAACCTCAGTATTTAAAAAATCTTTGCAAACACTGTTCTGAATTTGCATCGATAATTTATTTGTTTTTCTTTGCCAGGAATGTGGGGTTAATTTCATTGAATTAAATAAATCATTAAAAGACAGACCCACATACCCCAAGCATTGAAGTTGCATATTTATTACAGTTCTTAAAATTAATAACAAACACGTCGCCTGAGACTTTGTTCTCTTTTTTTGTGGATACAAGTTACACAACTTTTACATGAAACCTTAAGGTTACACTACAATACTACAGTAATGCAAACATGGACCATTTGCAGTGCATTTTTTCATTTATTAGTCTTTGTTAATGTTATTAAAAATTGTATTTTTGTTCACTCTTTATTAACTAAAAAAGAAAGCTCTCTGGATGTTAATAACACTATTATAAATGTTGAACATACGCATAAACTAAAATTAGTAAATGCTGTAAAAGGATGTCATTTTTAGTGCATGTTGATTAATGCACACTACCTGACAAAAGTCTTGTGGTCGATTCCAGTTGTAAGAGCAAAAAAATAATAACTTGACTTCTAGTTGATCGTTTAGAAAAGTTGTATATTTTTCAGATGAATCATCTGTTGAACTACAACCCAATCTACGCAAATACCGCTGAAGATCTATTAGAACCAGCATGGACTTTCAAGATTCTCACAGAAATCAGTCAATTTTGGTGAAGGAAAAATCATGGTTTAGGGTCACATTCAGTATGGGGGCATGCAAGAGATCTGCAGAAAGGATGGCTACATCAACAAACTGAGGTATCAAGACATTTGTGCTGCCCGTTATATTACAAATCACAGGAGAGGGCAAATTCCACAGCAGGATAGCGCTACTTCTCATACTTCAGCCTCCACATCAAAGTTCCTGAAAGAAGGTCAGGGTGCTCCAGGATTGGCCAGCCCAGTCACCAGAAATAAACATTATTGAGCATGTCTGGGGTAAGATGAAGGCATTAAAGATTAATCCAAATAATCTTGTTGAACTCTTTAAGTCCTGCAAGAACACTTTCTCTGCCTTCCAGACGACTTTATTTGCAGTCCTCCAAGCTCATAGGAGTCATGCACTATATATATATTTTTTCCACTGCACCATGACTTCATATTCTGTACTGTACATTATTTCTGATAAATGACAAGACTTTTGTCTAAGCAAAGTCAGATCTTTCTGTCCTAATTAAATAATTAAAAATATATATTTTGGTAAAATAAGCATAATCTAGAGGCCTTTGTCTTTCATTTGAGCCACTTTTGATACCAAATGATCAACAAGAAGTCAAGTTATTATTTGTTGTTCCTAAAACTTAGTCGACAAGACTTTAGTCAGGTATTGTAAAAAATGTTAACAAATTAATTCTATTTTTGCGAATACACTTTTATGAAGACTTATTTTGTGATGTGTTGGTATATTTACACTTTTGAATTTATTCTACCTTTACACGGCTTGGGTTGATTACTGTTTTGAGTACTATTAACACAACAAAACTTTTGCATGGTGTAATACACTTATTTCTGTTAAACTGAAATTTGATTGTTTAATTTTTCTCTCTTTTTTACATAACATTAGTAAGTTAATTACAATTACATTAAGGGTTGTGTTCAGGAGTTGAAAGTATTGTTTTAGCATTTATCAAAAACATATTGTGTAATACAAAACAAACATTGTTAAATATGAAGCCGTCACTTTACAAATATGTATTATCAGTTTTTTATCTACTATATTCAGCAGTTCCCTTGCTAATTTCAGAACTAAACAAGAGCGACCCACAATTGAATTTATAGTTTATTACTTTTACAAAATAAAAATGACATGTACATGAGAACAAGCTCTGCTGATTCTCTCTGGGTATTTATTTATACTGTAAATATTGAGTGCAGCTCTATAGAGTAGATTTACTTGATCTATTACCCATTCATAAGCTGTATTGTTTTTCAAGATGGTTTAAAAGACTTGTTCTACTAAAAGTGTTTTTTGAATTCTCATATTATGTTGTCGAAACAGCCTTACTTGGTGCTTTTTCAACAAATACAACCTTTGTGTCCAGAAACTGACCTGTACCTGCACTGATGTGTTAAACATTAATATTAGGTTGCTTTATAAACTAAAAGGCATCATAACAATTAGCCCATAAGAAAGTTTTATGTGCACTGTTCTAAATGTATTATTAAATATTCTAAGTCTGTATTGCAGAGGGAGTTGGTCCTATTACTAATTCCCTTTTTATCTAAAAACAGTCTATTAAGCTTATGTTTTGTACAGATTTCAAGAATGACACGTAAAACAAAAATGTTGCATCTGTTCCTGATTATACTTATTCATTTATTAATTTTCTTTTCGACTTAGTCCCTTTATTAATTTGGGGTCGCCACAGCGGAGTGAACTGCCAACTTATCAAACATATGTTTTACGCAGCAGATGCTCTTCTAGCTGCAACCCATCTCTGGGAAAATTATACTTATCATTTATTGATAAATTAAAATGTAGTGAATCTGAAAAATGCAACAAGTGCTCTGTGCGTATTTAAATGGCATACAAAACAGAAAAAAATGCATACAAAATGTTCATGAATTGCATCCGCTTCTTTTTGTGTAATTTGTATTTTTGTATAATTGTTATCGTTACATAAAATTTAAAGTTATTTATTTAAATAAATGACAAAGTTCTATCAAATCTCATTTAAAATGTAAATGTATATGTATATATATATATATATATATATATATATATATATATATATATATATATATAAATGTATATATATATTATTTGCAGTTTCTGATTAAAAGTATGTTGATCCTTCGCTTCACATCAGTTAAAAATAAAAAAATAATTAAACAAAAGGTCTGTAAATATTTAAATTGATAAAATAGCAATTCACATGTTAGAGTTAGGAGGGATTTCTAATTTAATCTGGCCAAGTGGAATACATTGAAACATGAAAAACCATCTAATACCACAAAAAGTCACATTCAAATCTATTAATAAAATGTACTGTTGTTGGTGCTTTTGTTTTCCTGTCATGCAATCCACAATATTAAGTTGAGTTAATAAGCTTAACTGAACTATTGTTTTTAAAAATATGCATATTATTTTTCCTCTTTTTTTATTTTGTAAGTTTCTCGTAAAGATATTTGCTGCGATGTCCGTATACAGAAGATGTTCCGCGTTGGTGAGTCTGCAGGGGGCGCAGTGGAGTCGCTGTTTTCCTCTGTGTGTGTGCGTGTTTCACTGATTGCGCTGCTCTACTACTACTGTGATGGTCAGCAGCGCCAGACCCTCAACGGACCTCAGCGAGAGTCGATCGCGACCACAACTACACCCGACCCGACTGAATTGCTCAAGAGTCTAGAGTTCAATAAATTGACGGAGCACGCGGAAATACGACTCACTCAATTATAATATCGGTAAGTAAATGCAGTGTTAGCTTGGCTACGCTAACGCTGCCTCGCGAAAGTTTGTTGTGTTGAATTTTCCGTTTTCCACGTAATTGTTTTTAACGACTTGCTTAGGTAAAACCGACTTCCATGGCGTTTTGTAATTTTTATTACCAGTACACAAATGTAGGAAGCATTATAAGAGTAAACCACGGGCGTTTATGGGTTCATTAAATATTTTTGCTGTCGGGAGATTTCCTCAGGTTCAGGCGAGTTGAATGATAGCTAATGTGCTAATGTCGCTGTTAGCAAGTCCAAATACGTTTAAAATCTACTCACTTAACTTCCAGTCAGAGCTGTTTTGCCTTAAAACAAAACTGTATACTTGTAATTTTACATGTTCTTTTATGTTTAAAATACGATTATTATTATTATTATTTAGTGAAAACTGTCACGGTTTGTAAAGTCTTAGTAAAAAGTTGAAACGCGACAGCCGTTTAAAGCTAGCAACAACTTCCCTAATAATGTGACAGCTGTGTGTGGTTTCTAAACGTTTGTTTATCTTATGAAAGCTGTTTTACCTGTAATGTATACGTTTCTTTTCAGTTTACAATATCTTGTATTTTTATTATCATTTTTGTTCGTGTCGTGGGTTGTTTTGGATATCAGACTGGTCACGTATCCACTGCAGTTACCAAAAACTTGCTTTGATTTACCTTTCTGTATGTATCTCTGTGTATTGCCTTTAAACTTTACAGTTTTTTACCGTAGAGTTTGTTCTGCTTTCTAGATTTTTCATGTTTTGTTTATCCGTGCCTCTAGCCCTCTCAATACAAAAGCTGCTTTTAATTTATGGGTGCTGGGGGAAGGGGGTCTGTTCTGCTCCTTTACCTTCTCAAGGAGGTCAAAAAACAGATGGAAGCATTGCCTGTGAAAGAGTCCGCTTCAAGAGGCCTGGAGGAGAGGGCTTAGTCTGAGGAAAGTGGATTTATTTGAGAAAATTAAAGTGAAAGCCTCATCGTATATACATGCCAGACATCTGTGCATTCCACAGCTTGATTCAAGATCTCCTTGAAGAGATCAGCTTGATCTCCTCTGTTGAAAATAATACCGGTCAATATGTGGGAGATCAGATGAAAACTGAATCTGGATAGTTCACTCAAAAAAGTTATAGATTAGAGGCTATTTTCTCATTCTTATTTTGCTCTAAGCCTGAATGACTTGGTGAAGATGTGAGGGGAATATTATGGTGTTAAGTCACCATTAACTTTAATCCTTTTACCCATACAATAAAAAGAAAGGCAAACGGGTTTAGAGCTGCATAGGGATTAGTAATTGACCATAAAATGTAAATATCTGGGTGATCATGTAATAAATGCAAAACACTGCATGTTTGTATTGTCTTCTTTCTTTTTTTTTTTTTTTTTTTTGTAGCTAGCGGTGCTTTGTTTACAGTAACTGCCAGAGCTATTATTTGCTCTGCCTTACATTAGATGTTAATTGATGGTCTATTGTTATGCAGATGTGATGGTCATGTGCTTTCTGGCCAAAGGAAACCTATGCGAACACGGGGAGAACATGCAAACTGCATACAGAAATACCAACTGATCCAGCCAGTGCCCGAACCAGCAACCTTCTTGCTGTGAGGTGGTTGTGCTACCCACTGCGCCACTATGCTGCCATTACATAAATTATGAAGGCATATTTAAAACACCAAAAATAATACAATTAACAAATACTAAAACTTAAAAGCAAGACTTAAGAAATGCATTTAAATAAAATAATCTAAAACAAAATGAATCCTAACTAAAATTAAATCTGCAATCATGCGAAGCACCTTAAACTGAAATAGTTTTTTTGATAAAGACTACATTTATAGTCGGCATAATTTATCTTACAGCTAACTAAATACTATTTTAACTTATTTTTTTACTTTAACTGAAATTACATGTTTACCATGTATTTTTAATATGCATTAATAGTGCTGGTGTGTGTATGTGTATATGTCACAACGCGCATTCACCAATAATATCTTATTTTGTTTTAAAGGCATTTTTATACTTATGCATTATCTGATGTCTTGTAGATGTTTAATCCTGTTTTAAGATTTGCATGTTTGTATCCTGTCATGATATATCATAACTGGTATTGGTAAAATTAAGTTAAACCAGGTTATAAAACTTTTTTTGTGTGTGTGTGTGTATATATACATGTATATGTGTGTATATATTTATATATATATATATATATACACATATATATACAGTTGAAGTCAGAATTATTAGCCCTCCCTGACTTATTAGCGCCCCTGTTTATTCTCCCCTACCCCCCCCCCCCCCCCCCCCCATTTCTGTTTAATGGAGGGAAGATTGTTTCAGCACATTTCTTTTGTACTGCGATGGTTTGTTTTGTAGACTATCTAAAAAAAATTAGCTTAAAGGGGCTAATAATTTTGTCCCAAAATTGTTTTTTAAAAAATTAAAAACTGCTTTTATTGTTGCTGGAAAAAAACAAATAAGACTTTCTCCAGAAGAAAAAATATTATCAGACATACTGTGAAAATTTCCTTGCTCTGTTAAACATCATTTGGGAAATATATAAAAAAGAAAATAAAAATCAAAAGGGGGCTAATAATTCTGAATTCAACTATATATGTGTATATATATATATATATATATATATATATATATATATATATAGAGAGAGAGAGAGAGAGAGAGAGAGATATGTATATATTATGTATGTATGTGTGTGTATATATATATATATATATATATATATATATATATATATATATATGTATATGTGTGTGTGTGTGTGTGTGTGTGTGTGTGTGTGTGTGTGTGTGTGTGTGTGTGTAAATATATGTGTGTGTGTGTGTTGTAGAGATATTTTGGTGTCTGCATTTTTTTGATCCAAGGGTCCCATGCTTAAAAAACAAAACAGATTTTTTAATAGTTAAATGTGTTTTTTCTGGTACAGATTCCCCATCATATAATATTCAGCTTTATTCCCTTTTATTGCGTAAATCACACATAAATAAACACACAAGCTTTTTCCTCTACTCTGTTTTTTAAAATATCAGCCAGGCCCAAATTGAGTTACCCTGAAGCCCTCTAGGAGTGCGTTTCAATCTCAGCCACAGTGTGAGGGATCAGATTGCAGTGGGAGTCTGTGGCAAGGTGGCAGCACGGGGCGGCTGGAGGGGAGGAGGGGGGTATGGGGGCGGGAGGGTTAAGAGGCAGTGTAGATCAGGTTTCACATCCATGCCTGCGTTCCTCAGGCTGCTGCGCCATCTAAAGTCAACCCCCCTCCCTGACCCGCTCTGGAGACAGGATGGCTAAGCAAGAAGAAAAAAACACACACGGCCACCTCAGACCTGCCCTGAATGTATCACCCGTCCCATCGTAAAGGTGCTGATGTATCACCCCCACCATTTAGT